CTCGCCTACAGGCAGCCACCTGCGCCCGTGTCTCTTCGGTGGACCCCTGCCCATTCGTGTTCTCTCTCCCACCTCCACCAGTGGAGTGCTGTCACATTCCCCCTCTCTCTCCTCTAGCCCTGTGCCATCTTCCGTCTCTCTCTTTCTCTCTCTCTCTCTCTCTCTCTCTCTCCTACAGACTGTTGCTACATCCCCTCTTTCCCTCTTAGCTGCAGGCTGCTGCCACAACCCACGCCGACTTTTTCACTCTTCCTCCTATCCTGGGATGGAGGCGATGTATTTATCCTACACGTGCCGACGAAACTCCGACTGGGACGTTAGCACGGCTCTCCCCACCATCCCCGCCAAGGAGCCCGGAGGACACAAACGGAGCTCAGCTCTTTGCCGCGTACGTCCCACCAGGAGCACACATACAACAGATCAAACCTACCCCCGACTTCTTAGACTAGTAGTTAATTAAAGCAAACGAATGGTGAGCAGGGAGCCGTGCTCGGAGAGCTGCTTGTAACCCCGGCTGGGCGCGGACTGTGGTCTAGTGGCCTAAGCGCGGTGCTGGGTGCCAGGACACCCGAGCTCTTTGCCTCCACCTCTGCTGCTGACTGGCTGGGTGACCTTGGGCAAGTTGCTTTGCCGCTCTGTGCCTCAGTTTCTCCATCTGTAAAATGGGGAGGATGATATTGACCGACCTACCTCGCAGGGGGTGCTGTGGGGAGGAGTTTGCTAAAGCTGGTGTGGCCTTCTGAGTGCTAAATAGCATCCAGCTCAGTTGTTAGGTTTAGTCGCTGCTAGAGATCATGAGAGGGGTAGGGAACCCCCTTTGGAGGTATAATTGGGTGTGTCGGGAGGGGTCAGAAGCACAAGGCCCCATTCCCATCTGCAAGGAGAATAGGAGCCTCTTCCCCATCTCCCAAAACCTCCCCAGCCAACCCATTACAGTAACAGCTGCTTAGACTCCACTTCACAGCCCTGACGGGACAATCTTGTAATTACGTTATCTGGCTGAGATGGCCCATCATTAGGGAAACAACTGTCAGATCTTATCAGCACTCTGCTTATTGAATCAGGATGTGAGGACAGACGTTTGGACCTTGGGAGAGAGGACAAAGAGCGACACAAGCGAGGGTGTGGCCGTCCCACCGCTGGGACGCATCTCTCCTCCTGCACAGCTACCCAGGAGGTGACGTCGGTGTCCACTTGGCTTCTGCCCCGCTTCAGAGCCTCAGCTCCTAGTACCTAGCCCGGGTCACGGCACTGCCCCTCCGCTCTGGCTGGGGTAGCCAGGTGCCTGCTTCCTTTGGATGGTGGAAGATGGGACCTTCCCCAGAGCTTAAGCTTTGGAGACTCACCAAGCACCTGCTATGCAAAGCTCACAGCTCCTTCAAGGCCAGCTGCTCCCAAGAGGCATCGCTGCAGGAGATGCCAGAGTCATCTTCCAGCAGGGGTCCCTGCTCTTTGGAAGCTCCCATCTCCTCCAGTCCCACCCCAGCCGGCATTACAAGAGAGGACAATGGAAAGGTACCTTCTCCAGCAAGGTGGGTCTTGCTCTTCTCAGGCACACGGGTCCGTGTCACTTTGTAGCGGGATTTTACAGGTTACCCGGCGCTGGGACCCAAGGTGAGAATTCCACTGAACGGCTGCAGCCTTTTAAACGCTAGACAGCGATTGTCTCTCCACCGCACCGGCCTTCGGGGAAGCGTCTGACACGCAGCGAGGGGTTCGCTGGTTTGAATACGTTTCTAATTAAATGTGGAAATGATCAAACGGCCTGAGCGTGAGCTTGCCTCTGCTTGACAGACCCCGGCGCAGCATGCGCCCTGGGGGAAGAGATGAACAGAGCCATCTGCCTCTGCAGCTGCTGCTCGTTGCAAACAGCCGCTCAGGTGAAAGCAGGCCATGACAGGTCCACCCCTGGCTCCTGTGCCACCGTGGGGCGACTTTCATATACTATCCCCTGATCCTCCAGCTGGTCCAGACACGGAAGTTACCTAATGGCAGCATAAACTCCCGAGGGGTTGGTCCCTATGGCCCGTTCTCTCCTTGGCCTCATTGCCAACAGGGGGTTGGGAGGCGCATCCCTCAAGGCTGCCCTACCCGGGATTGAACTGGGGTCCTCCAGAACTAAAGGCATGAGCAACTACAGCTTGAACTAACGAGCCAAGCTACCCCAGCGGGGGCTGTAAGAGACTCGTATGCTCTGCAGATCAGGCACCGAGGGGTACACGCAACACACGGGTTTCACGTGCTGGGTCCTCCAGACCACCTAGCCAAGCAGACACTTTGTTTGTAACGCCCCCCCCGAATTCCGCTCCCCGCCCGCCCCCCTACACACTCCCGAGCTCCTGATTTCTAAAGGGGCTTCCGGCAGATTGAGCCCAGCACCAGTCCTCGCCTCCTTGATCCTGGGCATCGCTGAAATTAAGAGGGAGCCCCCCCACCCCCGTTGGAATCCAGGGTTGGATTCTGGATTCTCACTGGAGCTGGGGGTGCCTAGACCATTAGAGAGAGCTCAGCTGTGACATCTGCAGCTGGATCCAGGGTTTGAGCTCAGCCCAGGACAGAGAATGGGGAGGCGCTGTGGATTTCAGACCCCTACCCGGGCTCAGATTCTCAGACACGCACCCCCATTGACAACGTCGGAGGGTTTGGATCTAAGGTGGAAGGAGTTAGCTCAGGGCCATCTGCAGGGACATGGGAGCTTGGTCACGTCACGTGCATTGGTTAAAGTCTGTATTGTGGTAGTCCGGGCCTGGAGCGGGACCCCATTGCGCTAGGCGCTGTACAAACAAAAAGACAATTCCTGCCCCACAGAGCTTGCAGGCAGGATTGGTCCCTGCTATATATTATCCAGCCTCTAGATCTGGTTTAGATTTAAATGACTCAGTTCATGTGGCTTCTACTCCTCCCCTTGGGAGATGCCTCTGCTGCCGAGCACAAAACACCAGTATTACAGCTGCGTCCACCTGCCCGCGCCCCACATTGCTACTGGCACTCCATGGCAGCAATCCCCCCCCCCTCTTGCCCCAGGAGTGGGGGGGCTCCATGGGCCGGAAGGGGAAGATTGCACTGCCGCTGCCTGTACTGTGCCCATCCTGTTGATCTCAGAGGGCACTTGGATCAAGGTGGAGCCTCTCAAGGGGGTGCCCGCACCTCCCCCAGGGTGGCACGTCCCTGTTCCAGAGGAAAACACCGGCTGTATCGTTGGAAATCAAGGGCCTGATCCAAAGCCAGTGGGAGGTGACTCCAGTGGAATGTAGCCGGGTTTCACCTGTTCCCTTCAGCTGTTCTTTGCCAGTCACTGGTACAGCCCCTGGCTGGGGGGGGGGGAGTCAGGATGTTCCCCCACTAAGCCCTGTCGTCCAATTACTTTCTTCCTCCTCCAGCATGTTACAGCTCCTTTATTTTTATTCCTGATGCCTTCTGGGGGGGGGAGAGGGGAGAACTACCGGGATCTGGGTTCAAGATCTGCCACCCGGGTGTAGCCCAACGGTGGGGCTTGGACACAAGGTGCTTCTCAGACTGGGTCTCTCTCCCTCTCATTGTGTCGCGCCTGGCGCCCGCTGGGAGCTGCCATTCATCAGGAGCTAAGAAACGCTCCCATTCAAATGGGAATGAAACCCCAGCCGGGGTGCCCGCCTTGAGGCTCTTTTCTATGCAGAATGACCCCACAAAAGGAGCGTAGGTCAAATGAACAGAGGCAGGAAAGGCCCGGTGGCTCTTGCCCTGCCCAACGCTCCTCAAAGCGGGTCGTGGCGGGTGGCTGTTGATCAGGGAAATTGGGGGCCTGCTTCCAAAGCAACGCGAGTACGTCTGAATCCCCTTCCCTCCACTCCCCCTCATCTGTCGCCGCGTCCAGATGAACTTAAATTTAGGCCCTGATTTTCAAAGCTTTTGACCCCGGCTCCCAGTCTCCTGGGTCTAGTTCATTGCAAACTGCAGGCAGCGTTTGGAGCACCAAGCCAATCAGCTGATGAGAGGAAGGATGGATGTAGCGAAGGAGAGCTGAGTGCTATGCCCGGCTCTGCTACTGATCCCCTTTAAGGCCTTGGCCCTGTCACTTTATCTCTCTGTGCCTCAGTACCTCATTGCTCAAAGGGGGCTGATAATACTCCCTTTAATACAAATTATAATAATAACAAGAGCTACCTGAATGCAGCATCGCAAGCTGCTTCTGAAGAAACCCCTCGCTTTCTTTTACCATGTGTGGGGAGAGGACTCCCCCAGGCCAGGGGCGCTGAGTCAACAAAACACCCTTTGGGCAGGTGTCCGGGCCTCAGCAGACCTAGATGTTGCAAGAGTCAATGAATAAACTAACTAACTAAAACCCCGTAACGAACAGGTAATTTTCCATCGATCGCTGAATACAAGCGGGGACAAGCCGTTTCCATTGCGGGTTCTATTTTTTGCCGTATCGTAATGCGTCTGCAGAGATAATTGCATCGTCCCTCTATAGCAGAGGCATGAAAAGGCTGCTAGAGACGCACTTTCTTCTGTCACCGCTGGAAAGAAAGCCTCTGCCTTATACCAATTACTGCTGGGTCTGCACAGCACAGACCTTTTGACTTCTAGGGGTGCTGTGATCTGATGCTTGAGAGAGGGTTTTTTTTAAAGGGATTAATTGCTTCACAATAAGCCTGCCTCTGCCAGGGTTATTCTGCCTCCAGCTGTGTAACCCATGTCAGCTTGGGAAGGAGTAACGAAGAGGGGGATATGTTGGAGATGAATAAGCACCTAAAAGTGTGGTCGCTTAGACGCATCTCTCAGCTCTGCCAAGCCAGGATTCCAACCTCAGGAGAGAGAACCTCTTACTTGCAGCATTTCAACAATCCAGTGTCCAATCCCGGTTTGGTCTGTCTGATCTTTTTTTCTTTTTTGGCGGAGGCCATCACAGAAGCCGCGTGGCCTGTGAGTTTGAAGCCTGGGACCATGACACCATGACACACGCCCTCCAGGGTTTTGCTGCTCTATTGCTAAACTGACAGCGAAGCAGAGAACTACGGATCTGCTCGAAATAAAGCCGATTTCTTTATTTGTCCCGAAAAGGGATTTGGGGATTTATGACTGTGCTTTTTATTTTACAGACATGGACTAACTGGCTCTATGTTTTTCTAGTCCCTGTAGTTCCCATGGGAGGGCACCTAGGTCATCAATGAGGATCCAGCACTGGACCTTAAGCACTAAGGGTCTGATCCTCAGGGAGGCTTTGGATCACGCCCTACAAGCTGATGAAATAACTTAAGAAAACTATGATGGCACCGCAGGGAAACTAGCTACCTTCTTGTGCAGCAGGTCAGACTAGATGATCATAGTGGTTGTCACCATCTATGAATCACTTAGCCATATTTCAGGGAAAGATGTACCTAAATTCTTCAGCAGCATCCCTGGATTCGGCAGCGCCCCTGATGAGACAGACAGGAAATCCTGTGGCAGCCTTAATTCAATGAAAAAAATGGGGGCTTTTATGGAGTTAAACATGGACCTGAATAATGCAATCGAGGCAGCAGCCTCGGGAGTACTTTGCTATTCAATTCAATTTATTTTATGCTCTCTGCACATCTTCATTTTTGATCTGCCAGAGGTTTTTGTACTGACAGGCCATAGATGCATGGTAGAAGTACTTGTGGAGGGAGGGGGAAGGGGCGAAGCTAGAGGTTTTCGATGCTGGATATGGGGGATGTTGGGGTCTTTGACAGCTGGGGAAGCATGAGAGTCCATCTGGGATGATGGGCTAAGCACATTAGCTGTATAATTTTGCTAAAGTGATCAGCCATTAAATGGTTAATAACACTAATAGTAAAACAGAGTCATTTCAGAGTTAACACCCCACTGAGATGACTGGGGCAGTTCACACCTCTCAGTGCTATTATCTCAAGCTGGCTGCAGATTTGGGCTGACAACATTGCATCCATGACACTTAGCAGAGAGTTGGTAAAGGCTGATTAGCACCTAGTTGGGCCAGAGTGCTGTTTCCCAACCCCTCCCCCACAGCTTCCTCTTCAGTTTTGTTATCCATCTATTTACCCCACACACACACAACCATCTATCTATGGTACATATCTTGGTGCTCATCACCCTTGAATCTTTGAATCCCAAATTCCATCTGAATTAACCCATTGTTCTTCCTCTCTCTCTGAAGTGTTACCTGGTATCCCTCCTAGGACAAGATGGCAGCAAGGCATGTTCTCAAGTTTTGTCTTTCTCAAGAACATAGAAAGTCAAAGCAACTGTCTTTTTTAGGGATCCCACAAGGGCAAAGCTACTGCTAAAGTCACCCTGGCTAGCTGAGTCTTTGACTGCATTAGCACAGCTCATGAGCAGGCCAGTTGCCTTCTTCTGATCTTGTCGCTTGCTACAGAAGTCACCTCTTCATGCCCAAGGTACGTAAGGTGGTGGTGACATGGTCGTCACCCCCCCTCCTAGTATCGTCAACCCCAAACGTTCAGAAATCGTGAGTCCCCCCCCCAAATCATGGGATTGGCTGAAAAATCATGAGATTTCAATATGGGGTTCTTTGAATTTGTCTGCTAGTGCTGTCGTTTATGCAGCATCCAAGAAAAGCTTGAAAACAAGGCCTATTGTCTTCTTCTTTAAAAAAGAAAATGCCTGAGAGTCTCACCTCATCCCAGGACTCCAGGAGCTGAGGCTTTAAGAAAAGCACCAAATATCACAAGATACGTAATTAAACCATGCAAGTCATATGACATTGTCTGCTAGGGCCTTTCTGCTTCTCAGGTTGCCCCTTTGGCTGTAGAACCCTGCTAGGGGCC